TATATATATATATATATATATATATATATATATACAAATTAATAAAATACCACTGAAAAAGACATTCTTAAAAACATATTTTTATGTCAGTTTTATTTGAAGAGGTTATTATACCATGTAACCATTTAATGCAGTTAATCTTACAGTTTCATAGGTGGTCAGTGATAAAAAACACTCAAGATTCATTGCTTTGAACAAATAATCAAGAATGCATCAAGAGAGAAACCAATACCAGTGTTACTATACAAGAAGTATCATAGCAGGAGGAATGATAGTTAGAAGGGATAGGGGGGGACAATCAGATAGGAGCTATAGCATGTACATTTCAAATGTAACGCTTCAGAGTTAAAAACAATGTACTGTCATATAGAAATATATACAAGTCAAACAACAAACTGCAGAATATTTTTTTTTTCCTATTGCAATAGAAGCCACAAGCCACAGTGATTGGATACACAAGAAACATCCATATACACAGGAAATATGGAAAATTACCACATGGATGTATGTTAAACACTTGCAGCAGGCTGTGGATTTATTTGAAGATTTATTTGTTGAGCTTTATTTCACATCCAAATGAGTTTTGTGACCCTTTCCCCTTGAAGTTCAGATCAGGGCATACAACCAAAACAAAACATATTTGCAAGATTGTGAAACTGCAAAAAGAAAAAAGAGTTTATATATATATATATTTAGGGAGTGTCTATTAAGTGAGTCAGCTTCTTTTCAGGGTGAGGGCGAAACCTCATAAATTTACAGGTGAAAATCAAAATGAAATCTATCACCCCTTCACCTCTGAGCGTTTGGGCCACACAGAAACTAGTTTTAGCATCTGTCATCCTCCAGGGTTTTCTCTCTCCCACATACTGCTTTTTCGGCTGCAGAAATCGTTCCTGAAATCCCCTGGACCTCCTGTCATGTGAAAAATATACGGTACAGTTTCTATATTGCACAACCAGAATAATTTTTTTTTTTTGTCTTTTTTTTTTGGCAAATCATAAAACTTCAGAATTTGCACATATAGTCATATCCTCTGTCTCTATATCTTTCATAGTTCACAATATTTAAGGATTCTAAATATTTTCTCAAAAAACAAACAAAAAAACACAGTAATAAACAGGCTGTACACAGTTCATAATAATTTGAAATACTACATTTTCACTCTTTACAATAATAAAGGTTGTAGATTTACAAAATGGGATAGAAAATATACAATGTGGTGTGACTACATCTATTTCTAAAGCACAGAAGTCTCACATCCGAGTCTTTGGAAGCTTTTTTACTGCTAAAACAGAACAAGGAAAAAAAAAAAGCAGATCATCCTTGATTTGTGTCATGATATTTTGTTCTGCTTATTGTTTGTAGATTGTGGATGTCATTTTGAGAAAAAAAAAATTATTAAAGCATAATAATTTAAAGCAAACAATTTGCACAACCAGTCAAACAAAATAAAACTAATGGCAACAATGATCTGTAATGATAACAGACACACACAGAGCCTAACCTGCACATTTGTCAGTGAAATAAATGTGAATAAAACTGAACCACTCCTCTATATTACTGATATTTGTCACTGCCATGTTTATTGTTTTAGCAATATCACCTTAATTTAAAAATGTTATTATCATTTAATTCATTCTCAACTTTTCATTTCGTCTGCAATATGTCAGATTGAAGCTAAACAATAGGAGCTCAGAGCTGAACGAAACAAAAACCCAAACTATATACAGTGAGTCATACTTGGGAAGACTGGATTGCATGTTTCTTAATGTGCACAATCTCAGGAAACCTGCACAAAACACGCAACAAGAGAATTAGAGCAATTTATTCATGTTACACAAGTTAAGGCACTTCCTATTGCTCTGTACAATCCGGCGATATATTATCAAAAGTAGGAAAAAAAAATCCTTCAAATACGCAGAAGGTGCTTTTCCATTAGGTCAAGATTATTGAAACATTTCAAAGCAACATCCACATCTCGTAGCTTAACAGCCAGAGTAACCTTCGATTTAAAGTTGCCTCTGATTAACGTTACATGTCACACTTTCTCCATAAAAGGAGCGCAGTAGCCCTTTGACATAAGCCGTATGAACAGGAGCCCAGCTAGCTCTCACGGCACATTATCTAAAAAGTACACACTATGTTTAATTTAAAACTATTTGACATGCAAAGAAATATGTGCCCATTTTAGTGTCGTTATAAATGGACGGTTATGACCATAAAACCAGAAAGAAGCTAATTCTGTTTGCACTGGGACAGTGGAAGGATGAATAATGGTAAACAGTGATGTAACATACACCAGATGGTGCAGATTGTCTGCAACATTGAAACTCTTGGCTGACCTGTCCAAAGTGTAGCTAAGGCTTCTCCAAACATGCCCCCCTCGCCAGTAGAGTTTGGAACCTGTTTCTATCAGACCCTACTTCTCCCTATTTTTCCTTCTTCAATGCTTCCCATTTGCAGTGCCATGCAAAATTATTCAAACCCCTTTTTTTTTTCATTTACACCCCTAACTTTTAATGTATTCTACTTTTTTTTTTAAGTGCACAAGTGGAGCAAGAGCAAATATATGTATGATTTAGAATTTTTGCAGCTAAGTAAAACTTCAACAAGTGCACATAAACACATTTAAAACATCTCATTTTAATTGACTATCCCTTAACAAATTCCAATGCAACCATTTGCTCTCAAATGTAATCTTATTCATGAAGAGTCTGTCCATGTTTTATTTAATTTTATACACCATTGATGCAGGTAGAACTATGATTGCCCTTTGCAATAGCAAACACTAAACCACGGTGGTGGCAGTATCATCGTGTTGGGGGGTTCAAACTGGGGCAAGTGATCAGATCAGAGTTTAAAGAAAGATGTACAGCATATAACAACATAAAAGACAATTTTAAATATTTTAATGGTTGTGGTGGATTCCTATGGATGCAATTTACATAAAAGATAAGGGCTTTGTTTGCCCTTTGCAAGCAGCAAAAAAATAAAAAATAAAATCTCCTGTTAAGCCTTTAGCACACATCTTCCAAACTTACATCCACACAAGGTGAAACACAAGACCTCTTTGTTTTCACCTTCACCACAAAGTGAACAAACTGGTTTATAAGAGTGCTGGTTGCTGCTGTTTGTTTGATACAACTTGCCCCACTTAAACCACCCCAGGAAGTGATAAAATGCCATCACCTTTCATCACATGCTCCTCGGAACAGAGACCCTCGGACCACCACTTACTCTCCTGCTGGTATCTGTCAAGCAGCAGCTCGGCTGAGATAAATCGAATGTTTTTGGAAAGCTTTATGGTCTCTATTTGGATGTGTGACAGATGGCAGACAGACATGGCTCTGCTCCTCCATGTAGTGAATGTGAATTCCTCTTTTATTTAATATTTATATCTTACCTACCTTTTGCGGTTTTATTATAATTCTAACTGTTTAGGCAGGTCAGAGATGTGTTTAGCTAAATACAGACAATTAGGCCAGCAAACAACTTGGGGCTGGGTCAGAGGTTCACCTTTCAGAAGCACATCGACCCTAAACACTAGAAAAAATGATCTAGAAAGAAGTAAAAATATCTTAAATTAAGTGTATTTCCCCTTAATTTGAGTAGGTAAATGATATAGTTTGCCAATGGAATTGGTATTTTTACTTTTAAAATAAGATAATTAGATAATATGCACTTGAAATAAGACAATGCTATTGTGTTTTCTTATTTTAAGTGTAAATTGTCTTGTTCTATTGGCAAAATGTCTCTTTTACTTCCTTAATCCAAGAACAAATGCATTTATTTTAAGAAAAAATGACTTATCTAGATTTCACATTTTTTTCCAGTGAACATATACACTGCAAAAACAATCTGAAATTAAGTAAAGATTTCTTAAATCAAGTGTATTTACACTTAATTTGAGTAGGTAAATAAGAGTTTGCCAATGGGATGAGTATTTTTACACTTAAAATAAGATAATTAGATAATATGCACTTGAAATAAGACAATGCAATTGATTTTTCTTATTTCAAATGTAAATTGTCTTGTTCCACTGGCAAAGTCTCTCATTTATCTCCTCAAATCAGGATAAAATGCACTTATTTTAAGAAAAAATGACTTATTTAGATTTACATTTTTTGCAGTGTAGTTTGAGCTAGAATAGAATGAGTTAGATTGAAACATATTCATGTGTTGGAATCTGATTAAAACCTGTAGTGATACTTGGAAATAGATGGATGAGGCTCTTCCACCAATCTGTTCTCAAAGAAGAATGGAGAAAAAATCATCTAGAGTTGTCAGAAACAGGTATTTGTTTCTTTAAACATCAATTTTTAATTGTAATATTGACTTAAATGATTAATTGAATGGTCCTCAATGGAAAGTTTGTAAAAAAAACAATTTTAGATCAGAAATGTTGATGTTTTTTAAGCTGATAACATGTTTTCAACTGGAAAATGTCTCCAGTTATTTGCCTGAACATATTATAAAACATGGTGGTGTCTAGCTGGCAAGAGGATTAGAGAGAAAACACATAGAAACATTATTAAGTAGCAGGGTGCTTAACATAATTGTACATGTAGTATTTATATTACACTCATGACCTTACGATAATTAGAGACTATACAGAGATAACCAATGGAAAGAGCAATGCTGTAAGTGGGGCACTGGTTTGTAGCATGCAACCACAAGCTGAGCGTGTAATGGGCAGCCTTTAATCTAAAATGTAGGTGTTCCACATCGGCCCGTAATCTGATCAGCCTCATGGTGAGTTTTCATTATAGGATCTGTCCCAGATCTCTCTTTAAAGCCGACAGCCTCAAGGAGCTATCCGGTGCAGGCGTAAATCTTAGCAAAGCCCCCCTACCAGCCACTGTGGCAACCTCCTGATGGCAAATGCTGCTGCATATTCATCACTCCAACGAGCAAGCCGCATTACTGTAACTGAGAGTGGTCTAATAGGCTGAAAAGATGGATGACATGCATGAAAACACAGAACATGCCTCTCGGTAAATTGATGTTTTCTCATTTCTTCTGGCACTAAAGTAAACACAGCTACTCATCACTTTTAATTCAACTAGGATGAGTTAAAATCAATTATGAACCAAATGGAGAAGAGTCACAACAAGGATATGATGACGTGAAAATAGCCCTTTTTAAAATCACAAGGCTGAAACCTGTGATCAGAAGTAAACTCCACACTTGGAGCATGCAAACATACATCAGCAGGTATACCCACAGACATCCAGAAGCTCACAACCTTCACCCATACGAAACATGCCATAATGTCTGTCAATTGAACCATAAAAAGCAAATAAAGTCATCCAGTCCTCTGTACACAGACACACACACACAGACCACAAAAAGCCCTCCTACAGACCCTAACAAAGGACAGCTCTGAGCTCCTACCCGCTCGTGACTCACTGTGTTCTTAGCAACTTGACATATATTACATATACAATATTTGCCATAAAAAACTACACCTGACATCCTGTCAGCAAAAGAAAAAGATGAAGAGATAAGATTACGGCACATTGACAAGTATGACACACACATATGTGTTTAGGTATGTATTTTTTATTGATTTATTTACTTTTCTAATTGACTATATTTCAAATTATCAGAAAGGTTATATTTTCTTAGTTATTTAAAAAAATACATAGATGGAATGAGGTGAATAAAGTAAAATTAGCTGGTAAAATTAGCCTCTTAGTATAATTCTCCTCATTATACTTCTAGTTTAATTTGACTTGTTCAAATAAAGCCGTGTTTTTTTTTTTATCATATCTTATTTTCAGACCAAATAAATGGTAATATATGCAGTTAAGGACTTCTTCAAGCCTTACTTAATCAGTTTTAATATAAAATTCACACTTCACACAAATTCAGGGAAAATCATCACAGATGTTTTGTGTCTATTTTACAGATGTGGAGGCTGAAAAAAAGGACCAGTGGTGTTTTCTGATTATTTTTCCACTGTTTTTCATCTTGTAGATGTTTTCCTGATTCAGGACATGATGTAAAACTGCATGGATCAATAACAAGCATATGCGGTAACTTATGCCTGAAGTTAGGAAGATAATTTACCTATGTGATTTTTGCCATATTAGAGAATGGACACAACTCTAGTTCAGCTACTGGCTGATTTCTTACTGCATTTCTACTCTTGATTGTCTTTAACAACCATTGGAGACACTAAAAATATGATGTTTTTTGTACAACCCATCAATTGTCGGATTTTTCAGTGATGTGGTAATTTTTAATAAGTAACATGCAAAGAACTTCAGAATGCAGTTAGTAGACTTGTATTGGAAATATTCTATAGTTTGTTTTTTTTGTCAGCTTCTAGAGGACCCTTCTCGTTCAAACAGGTGAAAGATATCCACTTGTTGCTAAAGCTTAAAAAACAAAAACAAAGGACCTTATTTTTGAAGTCAAAACAGCTATGTGGAGCAATATTTTCATATAACCGTTTTTTTCAGGGTACAAATTTGACTAGTGAAAATTTGCATTAATGTATTCATTAAGTTGTGCCTTCTAATTTGTACCTAGGCATTTGTTAGATTGGAAAACTACCTATCAGGATAAAAACCTATGAGCAGAAAACTAAAATAACATTCTGCTATATATTGCTGGTAGGAAGAGACATGGTGAGGATGATCACACAGAGAGAATGCAAGTAAAGAAGCACTAGTGGTGGGTGTGCACACAGACACGAAGCCAGTACGCACCCACATGTGCACACACAAATAGAATATACACCATTTATCTACAGTTATCTACAAGAATCTTTACTGAATTTCAAACCTGCAAGATTTGAAAATTCAGTCAGCCCTGTTTTCCCATTTGAAGTGTTTTCCATACGGAACAGATCATCCTCTGCCTGTCATCTTCCATTTGTCCAACCAGCCTTGTGTCCGTCACTTCTAATCTCCTTATATTAGCTGATTACAACTTTTAAGTTGTTGCAACCATCCTCATATATGTTGCTTCTTCCAATACATAAGTGAAAGCAACTGAATTCAGCTGAATAGGAGTAAAGTGCTACAACAGGTTATAGAGAGAAAACTTTTGAAATGATTTTGAAATGTCCTTTTATCTTTTTCACACATTTTCTTTCACAAAAAACACTTATGCATGGATAACAAACAACATCCATAAGTACAACATATACTCACAGACAACTCATACCTCAAGCCTCCTCCGAAGGGGGCTTTTACCGTATTTATCTTGCTGATCTACTGCTTTTGTATTGGCAGAGAAGCAGATGTTTAAATGTCTTTTTGAATGTGACATTACACAGAGCGTAGCAGGCAGGATTGATGGTGCTGTTAATGTAGCACAGCCAGTAACCAATAGTCCAAACAGTGTTGGGGATGCATGCAGAACAAAAGGTATTTATGAGCACCATAACGTTATATGGAGTCCAGGTTGCAACAAAAGCCACCAGGATGGCCATAATCGTGCGGGTAACTTTTTTCTCCCTTGACGGGGCCCCTTTTTTCTTCTTGGTTGGAGGTTGCTTCGTCATTTTCACGATCTTCCTCGCCACATTGTTCTGGCGTTCTGTGGCTGGGACAATCTCAACTGTGGCATTTGATGGTGTGTAGAAATCACCCTTCGGAGACTTGGTCTTGATTTTGATGCAGGTCAGTTTGGAGCCTCCTGCTTTGGCTCGTTGACGAGGAAGCTGCTGGGTGGCCTCGGCGCTTGAGTTTGCTGTGGATGCTACGTGTTCTTCATCTTTCAGATTTGAAGCTGCCAAACTGCCAGATGTTGAGTCATTTGAGCTCTCCTTCTCTTCTGCAGGAGCACAATTCTCCTTTGCCACACTGTCACCCTCAGTTTCTACATCAGCCGTAGAGGATGAAGGTCCTTTGCCATTCTGCAATTTTCCATCATGCTGGTTTGCCCCATCCTCTGCCCTCTGGTTCTGGGAATGTGTTCCATCCTCCCCCGGAACATTGTTATTGTTGGGTTTCGGAGTGCTCTCTCTCCTCTGGCCGGGTGACAAAGCTTCTGGGTTTGACCCTGATGGCTTGCGGTTGTCCTTCTTTACTCGACTTTTACTAGCTCTTGAAATTTGCCAGTACAGCTGAATCATGATAATGACAGGAAGGTAAAAAGCTGCAATTGCAGTTCCAAAAGTAACAGCGGCATTGGAAAAAAACTGAATGTAGCACTCTTTCTCAGGCACAGTCCGGCCCCCAACAATGAACTGCCAGAACAGGATAGCAGGTGCCCAGAGGATGAAAGAAAGGACCCAGGCGGCAGCAATCATCATTCCTGCCATTTTGGTGGTTCGCTTCACAGGATAGCTCAGGGGTTTCGTCACACAGAAGTATCTGTCAAAGCTTATTATGAGAAGATTCATGACAGATGCATTGCTGGCAACATAGTCTAAAGCCAACCATAAGTCACACACGACTGGCCCAAGAGGCCAGTAACCGATGACTATATAAATTGTGTACAAGTTCATAGAGCACAGTCCAATGATTAGGTCTGCACATGCGAGACTAAATAAGAAATAGTTGTTGACGGTTTGTAGGTTCCTGTTCACTTTGATGGAAAGCATGACCAGGATATTGCCGATAACAGTGACCAAACTCAGGGAACCAGCCACTAACACGATGAATACTACCTCCACAGTCTTGTAAGGGCTGTCTCTATCTGCCACAACTTCTGTCTCATTGCCTTCAGAGACATTCCAGTATGTCAAATTTACAAAATCCATGGCATTTGGTTTCTTTGTTGTCACCTTCAACTCAGATGGAACCTGCAAGAGAACACAAAACAAGCAAGGCTTTCTTAGAAAGGACCATGACAGCCTCAATAATTCAGTTTGGTGCATATGTGCAGAGTTTTTCATTGGAAAAGAAAAAAGAATGAAATAAGCTTTCCTAACTGGAAATACTTCAGGTAATTTGGTGAATTCATTGTATGCTCATCTAAAGCTGGTATGATACAATTCTACAGAGATTAGTGTAAAAAAGAAAATACCATCCCAAAAATTAAAACAAACAAAAGTATTTGATGAAATCTCTTACATCTATTGCTCCATGCCTTGTTCTGCTTTGGGCCTACAGTCCTTTTAATTTAACAATTATAAATTTGCCCTTTACATCAGTAATAATAACAACAATGATTAGAGCCATTTTTGTTTGGAACATTTTTTATAATCACTGCAAATAACATCTCACCATTAGGCATCTGCGTCATTAGTGGGGGAAAAAAAACAGATAAATAAAAGGAAAGCCAAAATGGTATCATCTAAAAAGATAGCATTGGATGATAGAAAAAAGTTATATAAAGCAATTTAACACGGCTAGTTAAATCTGGATGAATGGTCCTGATATTTTTCTATCCATTTGAACACAAAATATATACATAAGAAAATTGGTAATATGTTTGAAAAACAAATGCTTGCCTATGTGTTTCAATTTAGCTTGTTGGTCAGATGATTAAAAGTCACTTTTGATAATAATCCTTAAGCTGTGAATAGAAGATCACTTGGAAAGTGTCCCAGATGTTCCTGACTCACAATTGCCACCAGTTAATTAGGTCTGTCTTGCAGCATCTCTTGCCAACAGGTCCAAATCACAACCAGATGGGGATTACTTAAAAGCTTTGCCCCTCTCTTAACCCAGGTGTTTAAGATATATAAAACCGAAAGCCTAATGATGCAATAAAAGAATAAACAATCAACCAGGTACACATATGAACCACCTTGGTCTTGACAGCGGTTTTATTTAAGGACATTACTTACCTTCACAGATGTTAGAAACAAAATACCACATAGATTGAGCCTAGAGAGGCTATACTTGGCAACGTTGCCCCTCCAGGTAATGTTCCTGTTGCCAACAATGGCAATGAAGTCCCCTCGATCAAACATTGAATTATCAGGCGACAACTCTTTAAGGACACCATTCAGAGTTGAGTAATCTGAACTGCTGGTCAGTGCATTGCCCACAGACAACAGTAACACCATTCAATCTTGCAATTCAAATGATTAAAAAGGTCACCATTTCCCTGACATAAAATATGTTGGAATTGAGGCTCTGTGTTGTGGGTTTTTGAGTCCACGCACCTTTGCCCAACAGCTGTCTTCCTTGACAACTCTAGAGTTTAAGAGTCTAGTACTGTATGTCTCATGTAATTGGGTTCCAAAGCCCAAGCTTGGCAAAGATGTAAGTCCAACAAATTTAAGCTGCTACAGCTCAGTCTAATACATCACCTCTGGCCCATTTGCCCACCAATGAGGTGATATGTTGTATTTCCAAAACCCTAATTATTGAAACAGCATAAAAATAAATCCTGTACAAAATCTCAAGACGAAGCTTGAAATCAAGACGGAAAGCAAAAGCATTTTGTAAGTTTAGTAGAGGTCTTTGTATATATTGTAGCCCAACGAACTCATAATTAAGGAACTTTATTGTAAGACCAAAAAATACTTAATGCTATGCATAGTTTAGAAGTTTTTCATAAATTTTTTAAATTAGAAAAATTTTTCTTGCAAAATCAGATGTTCAAGAATTAAACAATGAAACATAGAACTTACTTGCAGGGTGATAATTAGTGTTAGCATGTTTATTTTTGCTGTGAAAGACAAGCTATTTAATTTCTTATGTTGAGTGCTCAAACATCTTCATTTTCTATAACTTTTGCTGTATATTCCTTTTAGATTAGTTTTACCATGAAAGATCTTACCACTTACTTGTATTCTAAATTGAAGATGTTCAACTGGCTTTGATTTAAAACTCTTAAGTTTTAGTCAATAAAGATTGAAGATAAGTGTCCTTCTGAAGCTGTGCATTATTACACTGCGGGCAGACTATATTACTAAAACTTAAATGGAGAAAAGCAATAAAAAGTAATTATATACAAAAAATGCATACATTTTATCTTCAAGGATCCAGTCCCCCCTTACAATTGAGAAATAGTCTTCATGCTGCACTATAAAATGCTTTGATCCTTAAGGGACCTATAAGTTCACTTGGAACCCAAACCACTGGTCTGTGTTGTAAATCTTGCTTCAATTTATGAGGTACTGCTGAGCTGTATGTGTCACAGACTCCTATGATATTAATGGCGTTTGTTTGCTCTGTGCCTTGACTATGCTCAACACTCTGAGCTATTTAGTAGCTGTGGAGACTTATGCTTCTTTTTGCTATAAATATTATCTTCTTGAAAGATTGTGTTAGTTCTTTCCATGGAACTCTTTTGACTTCTGTATACGCCATTATTTTGTTAAGACTGCAATTATATTCAGCACTTATTTCTAAATAAAGATAAATTCTTGCTACGCCATGTTTGGATAGGGATTCATTTTTCAAACAGTACATTCTGAGGTTTTTATGTAGGGTTCTGCTAAAAACCCCTTCTATGTATCGGAAAATTTACTCTAAAAAAAAAGAAAATGAAAGCAGCTGGTTACAATAAGCTTGTTTCAGACTGCTCTTCTGGTGGAATTCATACTTTGTTTTCTTGATTGTTCTCATTTAGTTTGTCATGTTATGTACAGTAACAGAACAATTCTATTGTTTAAAAAATTATTCTATGTATCAAATAAAGCTTCAAAATCTGATAGGAAACCGACCAATTTGCATCTTGCAGCGCTGCATAAAGTCTGCTTATTTATTATGCTACTACTTGCATTATGCATGTTTATAAGAGAAAGGGTAAAACAGTTGGTTTGGCAGCAGAGTCTCTCAGAAAGTTAAAAACAAACCAGTTCAACAACTGCATAAGTCAAAACCTTTATTTTATCTTATCTTACAAGTGATTATCATTCCTAATGTATAACTTGATAATAAAAGAGAGAGGTAAAAGCAGCAGTTACAGATTGTGAGTTTCAGAACTGCAAAATCATTTTCAGAAACAATAAATTGCATTGCATGTGGTAAGTAATTATATTTTCATATCCCGCTCAAAGTATTTTGTGCATTATGGTGATTTTTTTTTAATGTGATTTGCATATTCAATAATGAAAACCCCATTAATGGATACTGTCTGCTTTTCCGCCCATTAAGAAGTCAGATTTCCACCTAGTAAGTAAATCAGCTTTGCTTGCACAATCAAGATATCCAATTTGTAAAATATGATGAGTAATGGCAACATCTGTAAGCCTTGTGAACAAGTGTATATAACATCATGAAGAAATAGTTGTCACTCATGAAAAGAACTCTCCTTATTCCGATGCAACTTGGGAAGAAGAGCAACACACATCTTTATTTGCATTATTTTAGAGCAGGACATAACATGTCACCATAGGATTATTATTCTGAATATCTCTCCAATATTTTTTTTTTTGACATATATTCACCATTCATTTTCCCAGGCTGTTATTAGCTTTTAAGGTACATTCCATTAAATCAAAAGTAAATCAAGTTGTTGTTATAGCTGCTTTTTGTTTTGCTGCTTCAAAGCTGTGTGTCAAAGATTTAGACAATTAACACAAAGTCCTAAACCAGACCAGTTGCTGAGTAACTAGAACATTCAGTTATCTGCTATGCCAGAAATCCCTCATCACTCCATTGCTGTGAGACTGAACTGGTCTAATCTTCACAAAATGCATAAATCCACTTATTAACATACAAAAACATGAACAATACCAATGGGAAACACTTGTGGCTCACTTGAGACACAGGGATTAGAGAAGTAAAGTGGATCACTTTGCCCCTTAACTGCTTTTTGTCCATCTCTTACTTCCATAAGCTCAAATACTCAAATCCTATTTAAGCTAAATGTGAACAGCTGTCGGTAAAAAAAAAAAGAAAAAAAAAGATTATTTGCTTTTTTTTATTTAAATAACACAAAGATCCAAACAGTAAACACCCCAGCTTTTATGGAAAGCCAGTGCTTTAAATTGTCTTTGCCATCAAACCCTATATGGTCTATGAATCCGTGATTTGTAAAGATGTTTTGATTAAACTAAACACATAATCTTCGCTTTAAACTGGTGAAAAATGCTGGTGCTGAAACCTGCTGAGCTTGAGTGCAGTTGTAATCACCTGCAGAGAACAGCAGCGGTGCCGCTCTTAGCAGAGCTATCAATCATGGAGCCTACCTGAAAGTTCTAGTACAGCCAAAGCCAGTGCCTTTGCATCTGGCAGAGCACAATCAGAGAATAAGTGGCACCTCCATTAATATTCACACTTCCTGCAGTAAGATGGAACTCATGAAATACAAACAGTAGATGTTTTTAACCATCCAAGCTATTAAGGTTTCAACCCCCAAAAACAAATATAATGGAATTTAAGACCATCAATACAGTAATCCTAAATTTACCTTTTTTTTTGTTTTGTGTAAAATATTTTGACTGTCAGTTGCTGCCATGGGAGGAAGTGAATAAATGAGCTTGAATATTGTTCTATGTTCAGTGTTGGGTATTCCTGGAGTGAGGTCACTAGAGCTGAAAATTACCTATGCCCTCAGGGAAACAGAGAAGGCAACTTTACCATTTTTCACAACTTTTGTCCTCACTCTGTCTATTGTAATCGACTCTAGGCAGGTCAGATGAAAAAGAATATCTAAGAAGCTTACATAAAAAAAAAAAGTACATGCGCATATCAGAAATATTGTCAGAAAACAGACTGAAAAAAAATGTTGCTATAACCATTGGTTACATGATCTCTTACTACTGCAATTTATTTCGGTTTATGCATGTTACTGCCTTCCATTACTTATCTGTCATCATCGAACAGGTAACGCCTTGAACACCTGCCTCTGCTTTTAATGATTGCATGCATTTTCCGGGCTGCTTTTCACCACATGAGA